ACTGCAGGCAAAGATTCCAAGGACACAGGCCATGCCCTTGCCTTCGTGAGTGGGTACAGACAATGGCACATGTTGCTACCTGGTACTCTTCAGAGACTCGATATAAAGCTCCTTTCATGAGGGCACGGTCTTGCCAACAGCAGTTACGGGCTCTTCAAATTTTAGACAGCGACTCAGCAATCATCCACGTACAACAACACCATGTCACTTATGGCTACACAGCTTAGACTTTGCACATTCCTCCCAACAACATCGCTGCCGCACTTCTGCAGCCCGGACTTGATAAAAGGAGAGGCTCCCCAAACCCATCAACCATGGGAAAAACAGATTTTTTTTTAAAGGAAGATAAAACAATACCTAGGTTCTGTTGGTTGAATCTTGCTTACATTGGGGCACCCACCCATTACCAACTTTAAGCACCCCACTGGTGTCTGTTACTGGTCTAGATGTGGGGACGTGAAGGGTACTTTCCTAACACTAAAGAATCACAGTCTACTCTAGGAAGCATCATGCATCTTGATTTGCATAAAACTCTCATAACCTGGTTGCTATTGAGCCATCTAAAGCCAAAAGGACAGCTTGCCTGGGGACAAAGCTGCTGGGGTGGTGGACTGAAGCACACGGAAGAACCTGTTCCATTGATATACAGGAGGCACGATGTCCAGATCCTGTCCTACCCTGGGCCTCCAGTTACGCCGAATGCGATGTTCATTTCCTTCTTGGATGAGTCAGTTTGATTTGCCATGCTCTGCTCCTCATAGCCAAAAGAGTCTTAAGTGAGAGACTCTACAGTAGCCAGAGAGGAGGGAGGGCCCTTCTTGGAGAGTGAAGAGGAAGCGACATGTCTGACTGTAGATCCTGGAATATTTTCATCTACAGTGACATCAGAGGGCAGCCCTCTCTCAAGAGCAATGCTGGAGAGCAGAAGGCAGGACCTTCGCTCACGGCTCAGGGACAGCAAGGGGAAAACAAGCGTGGAGTGTAGCCTTCAACTGGACAGCCTAGTGCTCAGCGTAAGCTTGGTGTGCAGATGGTGACTTTCATCCAGTCTTTATCTAGTGGGCTCCATCCGACCTTGGAGAAATTCACGTTCTTTAGCACACTGTCTGAAGGCAAGGGAAAGAGAGAGAGTTCCCTCTCTCACCCTCTTTCTCAAGGTCCTCTCTCAGGTCTTGCCTCTTATGATTGACTCAAGAGAGGCAACATTCCCAGCTATTGTACCAAGAGGCCTTTCTTGGGTCACACTAGCTGGGAGGAATGATCTGTTGAATGACTATGGGAAGGAGCTCAGAGCAGTGATACAGTATGGACTCCAGAGCCAGAAGTGGCTCATGAGGATTGTCTATTTCTAGAAAAGGCAAAGGATGCTGCCTCTCCACCCAGCACGGGCTTCCCAATCAGCTGGGCACAGTGAACACGAGTCCAAAGAGGCTTTGCACAGTTCGTACCCTTTGTTGCCATGTTGGTAGTGGTGTGTGGAGGAGGAGCCCAGGCCTGCTCTCTGACTGGAACCGTTTCTGCTCTCTGCTTTAGTATGTGAGCTTCAGCGAGTTTCTTAGCTCTTTGGGCCTCCATTCCTTTTAAAGCAAATCTATGACCTATATTCCTGCGGTAACTGAAAAGATGAAGTGTCCCCTTGTGCCAGGAATATTAGCACAATGCATAGTCCATAGCGACAGTTACTAACAACCACTTAGCCCACTTCCCTCTTTTTCTATGACCTGTTTCAGAAAATCTCCACTCTCGGTAGCTTAGTCTTCCACTGGCCCTCCCCGCCAGCTCAGATTTGGTGCTCAACTTATTCTTTCCCAAGTTCCTACACTTGTTGAACTTCATTCTGCCGTGTTCAGACATTTATGACTTGTGGCACTTCCAGGGCCCGGATTCCTACTGTCCAGATAGGACTCCCTGAATGTATTGGCACCCATCCCACACTGACCAGACTCAGGTTAGGCAGCGGAAGCTGCACAGGGTAATGAGCCCAGGAAGCACTTCTTTTAGGAATATCAGAGAGGCACATGGTTCTCTCTGGAGACCTTGCCTTCCCAAAGACTTGAGTGTGTCCAGTGGGAAACTATGCCAATGGGTGGGGTGAGGCTTGGCATTGGCAGGATATTAACAGTTTGAGCTCTCTTGTTAGGGTCAATCAGAGCCACAGAATCTCTTGAGGCTACTGCAGCCAGATGCCTTTTGATGTGCTTTGCTATGGATATTAATAAATAGGAGGCAGAAATAGGTGTGGCAAATCTAAGTAATCATGGCTTGAGATGCAACCAGTTTTTCCAGGCATCTCCTGGGAGCCAGCCACTGTACTGGCTACGTGGATCACAGGGGTGGGTAATGCACACTTCTATCCTAGAGAGACCCAGAGCCTGGGGACAGGGGGTGAGGATAGGGACAGTGGGGCAGAGTGGGATAATTATTTATTATCATTTCTAAGATGACCATATGTAGGGTACAAATGGGACAAAAGGGGACAGGTCAGTGCTCCAGGGAGATGAGGTCAAAAAAAATCTTCACAGAGGAAATGACCCAGATACTAATTCCACTAATATTTATTGGCTGTCAACTGGAACTAATTTCCATGCTAGAGGATTTCACAGGCACTGCCTCATTTATGCTCCACAAAATCCCTGTGAAGCAGGTATTATTAGCCCTGTGATTTCCCAGGGTGAGGAAGGCATGTTAAGAGGTCATACGGCTAACGGATGAGTCTGGGACTTGAGCAGAGTTGTAACTCTCAATGTGGCCACCCAAGAAACGGAGGTGTTCTCATTGGGGCCTGTTCAACACATGCATGCACACATGATTCACTGGTGACATAATGGACCCAAAGGTCACTGTGTGTGTGTGTGTGTGTGTGTGTGTGTACATATATATGTATATTTTATATATATGTATGTGTGTATGTGTTTGTGTATATGTATGTATGTGTGTGTGTGTATGTGTGTGTGTGTGTGTGTGTGTGAGAGAGAGAGAGAGAGAGAGAGAGAGAGAGAGCTCACAGCCATTATGCATCTTTGTTTTATTGCATTGCAAATAGTCTACTGCCATGGAAGCCAGATAGTATAGGCTAAGGAGAGAGAGAGAGAGACAGAAACAGAGACAGAGACAGAGAGACAGAGAGACAGAGAGAGACAGAGAGACAGAGAGAGAGACAGAGAGAGACAGAGAGAGACAGAGACAGAGAGAGACAGAGACAGAGAGGAAGAAGAGATAGAGAAAGAGAAACAAGTCCAGCCTGGGCTGTGAGGTGAGCGTTACAGGGCCTGAGGAGAGGAGTCAGGTGAGATGTGGGAGCAGACATTCAAACAAGTAGCACAAGATTTGGGAGTGTGCAAAGAAGGTAGCCTGGAGACTCGGGGAGTGGGCTTGGGAAGGGCCAAGAAGAAGGGACACTGCCATTGTCTCTCTCAAATGATTGCCACATGCTTAGTTAAGCCCACTGAACCCCGATTTTGGCCCTGTGTCCTGGAATTAAAGACAGTTTGGGGAGTGACTGTTGCTGGTCTCTTAAAAACATAGACACAAGTAATGGGGATATGGTCTGTAGGAGATGGGGGTCCAGTGCACCCCGGTTCAGTAAGCCTCAGGCCCTCCATCAGTGAAGGAGGGAAGCGCAGAACGGCCAGCATGATCCCTGGGGACTTTTCAACTTTGACATTCCAGGATCGTGGGGCCAGCCCCTCTTCCCTGTACTCGGTGTAGACAGAGGAGGCTCAGAGCCTGGGAACTTGAGCCAACTCTACAGGCATGGGCAGAGGCAGCAGCTCTAAGAAACAGCCAACTATCTTGGGGCTATAATTACCAAATACACTATTTAAAGAAGGCTATTTTGGGCCCACTCTCCTCCACATAGTTTGTCCCCAAATTCTTCTGTTACTATATCATATTTCCTTTTCCATAGTGGATGCTCCCTTAACCAAGCAGCTACCCAGAGACAGAAGGGGTCACTGTGGTACTCCAGGCCTTGGCCTGCCTTGCCTGGCTTAGTAGTGTCCCTCAAAGACATCGCGTCCACATTTCTAGAACGTGTGAAGGTTAGCTATGTCAAAATGCGTGTTTTCCCTGATCTATGTGGATGTGCTTAATTAAGGGCATAAAATTAGGAGGTGGTCCTGGGTCATCCAGGTGGCCTACCTGCAGTCACATGTCAGATGGTGGCTTCAATTCTGGAGTACTAAATGATGTAGTTCAAAGCCAAGGAGTGCCAGCAGCCAGCAGAAGCCAGTATGCATTGTAGACACCTTGATTTCTGCATTAGAATGGTGATTTTGGACTTTTGGCCTCTACCATTGGAAAAAAATTAATTTCAGTTACTTTAAGGCACTAAATCTGTGACAATCTATGATAGCAGTCCCAGGAAACTCACACCCAGCCTCCTCCTGCCCGGTACTTAGGCATTCTGTACACACATTCTGAGTGGGGTGTGGGAGCTGTTTCCCTGGACTCACTGGAGACTGTCTGAGTTTTCTGTATGGGTTTTAATGAGGAGGCCATGGGCTTGGGAAAGGATGGGGACATGGCTTAGACAGACCCAGGCTGTGACTTCCTTGTGGGCAGAGGACTTAACCTCTCCAAACTGGTTTTCTCATCTGTAAAATGGGAATGATCCCCAACTAGTTCACTGCCACCGTGTTACATAGATTTCAAGTCAGTTTGTTTCTTTAAAAGCACTGTGCCTATTACAGGAACTAGTTATTATTTTTTTTATTAAGTCTCCTGACACAGTCCCTACTAATATCAACACACAGCTCCTGGGAGATGCAGTTAAGAGTCAGATTGGGAGAAACTTCTGCAGCTCTTGCTGGTTCTGACCTTCCTAAATGCCTGTTTCCTCCCAACCCATGAGGAAGTGCAATGGTCTAAAGTGGGGCTTCCCAGCCCTAAACTGGAGTCACTGATGGGCAGTATCCAAAGGCTTAAGAGCTTGTAAATCCCTCACTGTGCTCATGACCTTAGCGGCACCATGGTAAAGGGACTCAACGTGTCTGAGAACCAGACAGTGCTTGCTTTTCTTCACCATTCCAATGTCTAATGACAACTTTCTGAATGTAGGAAGATATGAGAAAGTGAATGAAGTTGAAAGAATGAATCCTGAACACACAGACACCCCCCACAATGCAACCTTCTTATCCTGTCCCCATGCATACGACTGGGTGTTCCCTGCCGCTCTTTCCCTGTCTCACATTATTTCCATGGATCTCCGTTTGACTGAGACAAATTCTCGTGAGTCTTCATCAAAAAGCCAAGTCCAATAGTGACGTGCACTCCTTGTGGAATCCATAAGGATTCCAACCACTCTTTGATCTGGGTTGTATAGGCACCACACCAGGCTTAGTCTATGCAGACAGTATCCTCACACCATGTGCTTTCTATCTGTACCTTGGGACCAGAGGCTTAAAAAATAGGATTTTCCAGCTTCTGTCTACCAAGTCCCACTTTTTCTTCCTCACAGGCTGTGAAGAAATTATGCTTCGCTTATACTCTCAGGTTCCATTCCATAGGTAAGGGAAGTCAGGGAAGGATTTAAGCCAGAAACCATGAAAGAATGCATCTTGCTGGTTGGATCACAAGCTCATGGTCAGCTAATTTTCTTATACAACCCAGGACCATCTACCCAGAGTGGGTTAAGCCTCCCTACCTCAATTAACAAAGGAATCCTTCACAGACATTCATATAGGCCAATATGACCTGGGAAATCCTTCCATTGAGATTAACTTCTCCAGTAATTCTAGGCTTTATCAATTTAACAGTTAAAGCTAACTAGGACAGGGCCCCAGTATGGGCTCTGCTAACTCTACTAGAGACGTATTTTGGGAGGCCCAGGGGAGGATAAAACATTCTGTAATGCAATGGAATATTTGACAAGCTGTACTTTTCTTTCTTTGTTGTTATTATTGTTATTTAAGTGGTATATGCTCATTTTTATAGAGCTGTGAAGTACAGAGAAACTGAGTACCAGAAAACACCATCATTGCCAGGAGCACTTTTAATCCCAGCACTCAGGAGGCAGAGACAGGCGGATCTCTGTGAGTTCAAGGCCAGTCTTGAAATCACTGAGTGAAATCCAGGACAGGTACCAAAACTACACAGAGAAACCCTGTCTCAAACAAACAAACAAACAAACAAACAAACAAAAAACAAGAACATTTAGTATAAACTACTTCTCACAATTTCATGTCTCTTTCATGTCTTTTTAGGTATGACTCGCCAGGTTTAATAGGGCTGTTTGCATGAGCATGGGTAGCAGGTTATTTACTTACTTATTAATGGCTGCATTTAAGAAAGTGAGCCCCTCTCCCAATAACTATTAACTGCCAATAGTCCTTAAGGGAGATGCGGAGCTTCCTGGTGCCTCCCTCCCATCTATGATGAAACACTGGTTCTTCTGCCATCAACCAAAAGCACAATGAGCTCATAAGTGCAGTGGCCATGTCTTACCCAGAAGACATTCTTTTGGTGGCACCCCCACCCCCCGACTGCTTACATTCTTTCTACTCTCTCTTTTCTTCAATGTTCCCTGAGTGTTGGAGAGGGAACATTGGAGAGGGTGATATAGATGTCCTACATAGGGGCAAGTATTCCTCCCTCACTTATTCTTGGAACATTGAGGAACTGTGATTCTCTGCATTAACTGCCACCAGATACACTAAGAAGCCTCCCTGAATAAGGCTGATGGTAGCACTAATCTATGCATAGAAATATGAATATCCAGTAGGCAAGAGTTCCTCCCCATGGAGTGGCAACCTAATCAAAAAGCAGTTGGTTCCTTCTGGACAAGAGCGCCCATCCTGCCCTGGACTTCCTGTCTGGACAAGAGCTTCCATCCTGTCCCCGAGTTCCCATTTGGACAAGAGAGCTCCCATCTGGACAAGAGAGAGAGACTTCCTGAATCTGTCAGCTCTGTCTGAACCAAGTGCGCTGATAAGACCAAGAACGAACCACAAGGAGATGGGCAGATGTCAAGGCAGAAGT